CTAATGTAAGTAGGCACAGTAAGATGAGGACATAACTCATATCCAATGCACCAAGCTTTCTTTTTCCCCTTGTTTTAAAATATGTAGTTTTAAAAATACTGATTCAGTCTTTTCTTTTCCTTGGTATTATTTTTCAAAGAAGTTGAGTGATCTGTATGGCAATTTTATTCTCAGTTGGTTTAGTTTTGGTTTTACCTTTTAAAAATACAGTAGGCAGATGTTATCATGGAGCAATTTTAGGGACAGAAGAAGGATTTGTTGAAGGTGATCCTCCTGTCCCCCTATCTGGCATCACCTTGCCTGGAGCCCTGCTCTATCCATGGAATGTCTGCTCTGCGATCTGAAGTCAGACATTGGGGCCGGAGCTCTGGCTGTTGACAATATCCTAGGTGACCTTACGAGGGCTCTGTTAGAGACATGCAGAGTCAGGAGCCAACATCTGGTCATGATTAATCCTCTCAACACTCTGGACAAATGTGGACTGGCCTTGGGCCATAGCCAGCTACCCCTGAGAAAGCCAGTTCAATCCCTTGTGATTCTCTCAAATTCTATAGAGGTTAGTTCTTTGCCTTAATTTTCTACTTTCCCCTCAGTATTCATTAGAATGTGAGAGGTAAAGGCCTTAAAACAAAACAGAAAACTGACTGAGAGGTGAATCAGGCATGCAGAGTCACCAGTTCATAGTAAAGGTAGTACTCAGGCATGCCCAGGGGCTGAACTGCAAAATCAGTGGACCCCTTTGGAAGCCATTAATATTGTTGAAGCACATGAAATATTCATGTCACATATATGACAGTCCATTACAAAGAGTAATCTGGACATAATGTGGAAAAGCAGTGGTATTCACACTTGCTTTAAAGAGATATGGATCTGGAACCTTTATTAGATTCTCAGTGAAGTCTAGGAACCTACAGGGATTAAGAAACACTATCAAGTGGTCAAAATCATGGATTCCAGAGTGTCCCATGCCTAGTTCAGTATTTCTCATAGAAACATGACTTGTAGCAATTAATTTAACCTCTCTAATCCTCAATTTCCTCCTTTATAAAATTAAAACAGTAGATTCAAATGTACAGGGTTGCTTTAAGGATTATACCTGCCTCATGCATCTAAGAGATTTAACGTAATAACTACACAGAGTAGAAGCTCATTTAGTAATTGTCATTAATATTTGTAGTGCCTTTAATTATCTTAGAACTCTGATTTTTGGAAGCAACATAGCATGATAAGTGCATATTCTTTCCTAATTACCAAGTCTGGCAGAGTTGGTAATACCAGGACCCTTTTGTAAGTCAATGTATTTGAATCTCTGTCTTCATATCTCCTAAGCAGTAAATAATAATATTTATATCACAGGGTTGCTGGAAGAAGTGAATAGGAAAATGTATGCGTAAGGACTCTCCTGTATTGGGCATTCAAAAGGGGGGATACAGTACTCAAACATCTGTTCTTCAAGCCCCCAATTCTTCTGACTGATGCAGCCAGGGCAGGCTGATAAGATTTAAGCCATCCTAGCCCATGGAAAATATCTGAACCTCGTAGCAGTTCTATTTTCTCTGAGAGTCTTGAGGGAGTTACTATTTGTCTTAATTCCTTTCTCCCTTTTTAAGCATTCTTTTGTTCTCTTTGGGAGTTTCCTTTACTTCTTGACTGATAATGGATAGAGTTGGTTATAAGTGGTGCCAATGATGTGGAGTATGGTTTCGGTCTTTTTGCTTAGTATTCTGATGGGAATGAGGTGGAAAAAAAAATGATTTTTTTTTTCTTAACAAGTGCAAGCATGATCCAGACTGCATTAAAAAAGTATGCTAGAAATACTGTGTAACTCCCTTGAATAGCTGAATGGCCTTATATAAGGTTAGTTGAGAGTCTTTAGTTTCATGCCTTAGTATTTACTCGGATGTAGCATTAACAGAAAAAAAATCATAAAAGCTTATTTTCATGTCAACACTATTCCAAAGCAACAAAATCTAACATGATTTTGTGGGATAGTTGGTAAGTTTGAGTACTGAGCTCATCATTGAATGAACTTCATTTAGATCGAGACTAGACAAAGAGGACATGCCAGCACAGATGGGACACTTAATGGGTAGTCAGTTTGGCTTCCTCCTCCAGCTTTCTTCCTTGCTGTACCAGCCCCCTCCCTGCAGCTTCTTGTCTCCATGCCACCCACATGTATCTCTGGATTTCATATAATGTTATCTTCTAAAAACCATCTATGGCATATTGTCCTCTTTGGTTTTGAAAGTCTTGTCTTTGGGATAGTCATCATTTGTATAGAAAACAAAATGATTTAGTGAATGGTCAACATGGGAGAACTCAGAACTTGGACCATTATGTTCCAACCCTGACCTTACCTAGCTGAGCATACCCTAATATATATGGAAGCACCTTTTCTTAATAGGTGCCAGATAAATGTTTTCTCATCCTCTTTGGGTATTACAGTATTTATCTGTAAATGGAAGAGGTTGGACAGGATGACCTCTAAAGACCCTTCCGGCTCTAGGCTCTAAGTTCTGTGATTATATTCTAAATGTTAGGTCAATGTGGGGCTTATGAGTATTGCCATTAATGAAATTACCCATCATTTATCTTATAAAGGAAAAGGACACACTAATAGGAGCAAGACAGCCATACTTGAAAATGAGAGTGTGTGGATTTTTATTGTATCTACAACTCTCTAGTGATGCTTTTGATAAATGAGAATGTCTTCAAAAAAATTCCAGCTGCCCTGGGTTGACCTGATCTATACTTTTGTTTTGAACTGGGTTACAGTAAACATTTTCCACTTGAATGTAATTCTGCATGATTGAGACTTATCATGTATGATAATGAAAGTTTGTGCTTAATGGAGGTTGATAAGTAATTTTACAAAAAAAAAATATGATCTTCTCACCTCTTCTCTCCTGTCTACCTCTTCAGTCTGACCTTGACCTATACTTCAGGAGAAGCCTCTCAAGAGGTTGCAGGGTGAGCTTTTCATCCCTTCCATCTCTTTCAATCTTTATTTTTTTTTCATCCTGTCAGAGCAGATGTGTTGTCCTGAGAAGACTATGCCCCCAAAGCCGAATGCTGCATCTTATTTCCCATTAACAGCACTAGGAGCTTGATCCAACTCTTGTTTCCTTTTCCTCTTTAAAAATCACACATTAGTTTCTAGCCTTCCTAGAAGATGTGTTTTTCACTACTGGAACTGATCACATATCCTTGCACAAGCTAAGCAAATGCCCTGCCAATGAGCTACATTTGGAGTCCTTTTTTAAAATTTTATTTTACTTTATTACAGGTCTTGTTAAGTTGTCCAGGCTGGCATTAAACTTACAGTCCTCCTGCCTCAGCCTCCCAAGTAGCTAGGATTATAGCTTTGCATCACTGAATCCAGATTAAAAGACAGTTAGTAACAAGATTTAGCCTGGTCATCTTCCTTCCATCCTATGATAAAACAGAACCGATTCATTTCTCTAGTTGTACTTCACCTCACTGTATGGGACTAAACCATTAAGGTTGTTTTTGTTTTACCCTGTTTCATGGGGCCCTAATCTTATTCTTTTATGTGCCTCACTGAAAATTGGATAACAGAGGACTTTTTTCCTATTTAACCTTTCCTGTAAATCTCATTTTCAGCCTTGCTCCAAATTAGAGCTAAGGTTAAGTGAAATGGGAAAAGAGGGAGGGAAAGAGGAAGGGAGGGATGGGCCACACAGCTCTGTGGAGGCATCCACTTATATACTTGATCTCTCTGAGTATGCGCCCTTATTGCTCTGCCATCTCCATTTCATCCTGGAGAGGACGTGGCATCTGTGGGTGGCCTCCCCAGTGCTACATGGCCAGCAGTGGTATGTGCTGTGCATCTGGCCAAGGGATTGGTGGTCTAGAGCCATAGCTCTCCCCTTTCTGCTCTCAGTGGACGGATTTCTCTGGCCATCTGCTGTGCTCTATTCCAAGTTCATGGACCTGTCCGTATGATTTCTCTCCCAAAGTGGTGTAGTTGTTTTCTGTTGTTCATACCATGTGTCCTCTGCTCATTTCTTAGGAAAGTTTTTTTTCTTCTTATTTCATCTCATTTTGTTAATTTGAAGGTGAATCTCAGACATTCTTCACCACAAAAACTACTTTCCTTTCCCTGGCTTAGTGTTGTACAAGTTTAATCAAGAGGAACAAGAGGAAGTAGCAAAAATAGTTGTGCTAGAAAGACTAAAAGACCAAGGTTTGTGAAACCTAAAGTTAGAACAGTTTTGTCTGACTTGCTTTTGAGACCTGGGATAAGTTACAGTACTTCCCTGCTTCTGTTTTCTTTTGCCTATAAATTGCCTATAAAACATTAATTACCTTACCTTATTGGGTTTTATGAGAATCACTAGAGATACTTTATGAAAGAATACTTTGGCAAAGTAAATTGTTGTACACACCTACACTTGATTTTATTCAGTGTACTGGTAGCAGCAGCAGCAGTATAATCATGTTCCAAATTGTATCTATACCTCACAACTTTTCACCTGTGAGTGAAATCAGTACAGTGAGTGTCCCCACTCTAGCTTTGAAGTTTCTTTCCTCCCAGGCTGCCCTGAGGGAGATGCCCTTTGTTCTCCCAGGCAGAGATGACATTCTAGTTTATTAGCTGCTGCTCTACTAATCCTAACCCTAACCCTCACCTCCTTCCCTTGCATTAACATAGTTCCTATCATAGCAAATGGCAGAATCCGGCTAGACTAGTATGCTCACCAGAGACTTAGGTAAGAGGCATTGTACAAATGTCTAAATCATTACAGCTCAAGACTCTTAAGGTCTCTTAAAAATTCTTTCATGCAATTCATTATTGTTAGTGTTTGTGGCTGTTTGGTAACCTCCAGAACCTTTTTCTGCCATGAAAAATAAATCATTCCTAATAGCCAATAGCTGTTTTTTTTTTCACTTTTATACTTGAACTTTTCCCTAAAACAGTGGCATATCATCACCTTGATTAATTCTGTTTAATACTGCTTTTCTTCCCTCTGCCTTAGGATGGTCGCCTGCGAATGAATGACCAGTTGATTGCAGTTAATGGGGAATCTCTTCTGGGAAAGTCCAACCACGAAGCTATGCAAACACTTAGACGATCAATGTCTATGGAAGGAAACATCCGAGGGATGATCCAATTGGTGATTCTGAGGAGACCAGAGAGACCAACAGAGGTGATGCGATTCTTGATTTTCCTCCACAATCTGCCCAAATATGCAGACATCCATAGCTAGTGTGGTAGCTCAACTCACAGTGATTCTACAGTTGGGAAAATATGCCTCAGATGACTCTGATGGATTAATGTGTAGAACAGGTGGTTGTACAGGTTAGGTATAACTAGGTGGTATAAAAATGTACATGTAAAGTAAATCATTTATCAATATAACAGGACCATATTTTCTAGATTTGTTTTTTCATGTAGAAATTTCTAAAGCATTGGACTTATTCATAAATTTCTTTATGTACTTTTAGGTTGATATGCTAGCAATGTCCCTACCTTAGAAAGTTTTTAATCAGATGAACACATATCAGTGTTTAATATGAAGATCATTGTAATACAGTCAGTTCTCTACATACTCTATAGTCTATAGATAGATAATGCAGATGAGATTTAACTTATTTAAAATGTCATCCATTAAGCAAGCTGCTTGTTTCCTGTTATTAAATAAAAGGAAGTCTTCTTTTCTGAAATCCTTCATGATGATCTCTTTGGATTTTTTAATATCAGGAATATTTTCACTTATGTGATGTGTAAGCATAAAATATTCTGGATTGCTAATTTTCCTGAACATATCTTTTACATAAAAGTATAAATATAAAATATTCTTAACATTATAT